TTTTCCATCATTTGCAAAAAAAATGATCTTTTTTTAGCTTAATCATCATTTTTTTTTAGCTTAATCATGTTTGGGAATGAAAGAAAGCCGCTTGGCCAGCTTAAAAGTCCACCCAAACCTGCTCTGAATCACATGCAACTGTGACGGATGATAAAGCATCAGCTGTCTGTGGATATAAAGCATGGGTTCTTGTTTGAACACATTTTTTACGTGTTTTCAGTCTGTATATTACTGGTGCATGCACCTGTTTTTTTTTTAAAAGAGAAAAAGAAAAAGAAGAAATGAAAGAGAAAAGCTGAGAGTTCTGAGACCAAATCAGACCTATAGTCAACAAAAAAACCTAGGGAAAAAGAGAAGGAGATTTGAACCGGAAGTAAGAAAAGAAAAAGAGAAAAGGTACTTCCATCTCGTTGCTGCTGTTGCTTCTGTGGTGAGGTCGTTGTTTGCTGCTGCCACCTACACCTAGTCAACGGAGATGATTCTGCTATTTTATTTTATTTTTTCTTTGTTGCTTTGAGTTGTGTTTTGCCCATATTTAATTATTTTAAAGATGGGTGATTTTTGTCTAATTATGGTGTTATTTGACAAAGCATCTGATAAGAGTTTTAGTAGATTTTGATAAAAGTTGATTAAATCTGTGGTAGAAAAGTCGATAAAAGTTGTAAATATCATGAAATGTGTATTAAATTGAAGTTTGACCTGTTGATAAATTTTTAAAAAAGCTTTGTCGATCAAGCACTAACTCTAGCAAGTGATGTGTTTCTTTCAAAACTGATATTGTGTATTTAATAAGTTTTTGACTTCTCAAATTCCACCATGCCTTCTGCATTGGAAAAATTGATTAAGTTTAGTGGAGCTCATCCCACAAAAAAGATCAGCAAGTCACTTATTAAATGAGGAGCGCATGTGAGGCATACACAGTTAGTGGTACTAGATAGCCAAATTTTAACTTTGTAGAGTTTAAATGATATAGTAACATGTTTCAAGCATGATCTATTTACTGTTAAGTTAGTGGAAGTGATAATTTAAATTTAAAACAGTGGTTCCTTGATTAGGTAATGTTTGAAAATCGTTCCTATTTTCATAGTTCGTGATATGCCATCCTAATGTTTTCACTTATGATAAATGAGGGATCCATGCTGTCTGTTGCTATATTGAAAATTTGAAAAATGGAGGATATAGAGCAACCTTCAAACCAATATTGGAGATATACAAATCTTGACCTTCACCTTTCAGATTGGGTAAACAAAATTGATTCCAAATCTCAGGATTTATCATACAAGTTTGAAGGACAACAGAGTTAAATTGTTTTTGGGGCCAGTTTATGGAAGAAGAATGTAACTACTGTAGCACTTTGAAGCTGTATGCATTTTATGCTATTAGGTCATGACATACTGTGCAATAAAAGATGTGTTCCGCATGAGAGAAGAGAAATATATTGTCCAAGGCGAAATCAATATCAACTTTCTGGACTTGGAATAGCATTTTACACTGCAATTTTAATTTTTTAATGTCGTCCATCAGGGTTTACTGACAACCTTAAGCTCCAAAAATTATAAGGGGTTATTGCTGCTGGACGAGTTTTGGGAATCAAGCATTCAATAGATACCTTAGAGCATTTCTGAGAAACATTATCACTTTTGCTCCAAGTCTCTTGGAGAATATATATTGTTCTCTCTTTATTTTATTTTATTTTTTTAAATCTTAACGTCAGTACGCTTATTATTTTATTGAGGAGCCTCACTCACTATCCTCTCTTTAAACTTCAGTTCATATAGATCTCAGTTAGTAGAAGCCCAGAGATGTTGCATAAAGGCACCAGTTGACCTACGGATGCTTGTATGTTTATTAGTCTATATAGGAGCCAGTTTCCCTCTCTTTATGTCAAATAGATTGTAGTGCCCAGAGATAATGCATAGTGGCACTAGTTGCCTTTTAGAAATCTTTAAATTTGGACTTGAGATATAATAATTTCCTTCCAAAGCATTCAGATTTTATAGTTAGAAACTGTTACAGCAAATATTACGCAGCTGTTCTAAAGTAAAAGCGTTTCTTATCTTAATTAGATAGAGGAAAATGGAAAGCCAATACTTAAGTTTGTTAGTTATAATGGAAAGTAAATATTAAAGTTACTATTGGAATTTACTCATAAGATATTTCAACTTCCGGAGAGAATGTGGGAATCAATTTAGGCTATGGCTTCAAAAAATTAAAAAAGGTTATAATGAGGTTATCACTTGTTTCTCATGTGGGAAAAAGTTAATAGCACATGCTGCTGCTGCTTACCACAACAATTCAACATTGTAAATGGACCTTTTTTATTGGACGATAAAATTGCTCCGTCACACTGTTTGGTGTTTATGCTAAATGCTTTTTTACTTGATGGATGAAGAAACACAATGCGGGCGATTGATTTCTCTATTCTTTGTCATCTTTGATGCGTCTTACTAAGGCCCTGTTGGTCATCCTTCAACAAAATAAAATGTTTGCTACAGTAACATTCTCCACCGCACATTCACAAAATAAAATATTTTACACAGGAACCAATAAAGTTTTTTTAAATTTCAACCATACATTGTCCAAAAACTACTATTCAAAACTCTATATTTTCTCCCAAAATGGGAGACAAACAAACTCTAATTTTATTCGCTTACTAATTATTTCATTTATCTGTTGCTTTGTGTTGCTTTCTGAAAGTTTGTCTCTTTTATTAATGCGTTTTACTTGTCTGGACTTGATCTCTCAGCAAATTGTACCACCAGTCTTATTTTCTTTTTCTGATCAAGATAGCAGAGTTCGTTNTTTTACTTGTCTGGACTTGATCTCTCAGCAAATTGTACCACCAGTCTTATTTTCTTTTTCTGATCAAGATAGCAGAGTTCGTTATTATGCATGTGAAGCACTGTATAACATAGCAAAGGTGAGAAATTGAACAGCTGTCTTGTCATTTATGTTTTATCCTGTGTGTTTGGATTTCATCCCTGCTAATTTGCAGGTTGTGAGAGGAGATTTTATTGTGTTCTTCAACGATATTTTTGAAGCTTTGTGTAAGCTTTCTGCTGATTCAGATCCCAATGTACAAAGTGCTGCTCATCTTTTAGATAGACTTGTAAAGGTAGATGATTTTCATTTTCTTTCTAGTCATTCCAGTTTCATTTTTTGTCTATTGTTTGTTTTGATTTGAAGATAATTTTGATTCTTAACCTGGCACAATGAGTTGTTTTAATGCAGGATATTGTTACAGAGAGTGATCAATTCAGGTATGCTACCTGTTTATTCTAGCTGTGATTTTGGAACCGAGTTGTTAATTTTTTTTGAAGAATTTAACAAATTGTTGGTGTTAACTCTTGCCATTGTTTCCTGACACAGTATTGAAGAATTTATACCACTGTTGAGAGAACGAATGAATGTCCTAAACCCTTATGTGCGCCAATTTCTGGTAGGATGGATTACTGTTCTAGACAGTGTTCCTGATATAGATATGCTTGGTTTTCTTCCTGATTTTCTTGATGGTAAGTTGTCCTCATTCGAGGTTTTTTAGGCTGTAGCTGTGTCTTCTCTGATGCATGTTCTCACTTGACTGGTGAAATCACAGGCTTATTTAACATGCTAAGTGATTCCAGCCATGAAATAAGGCAACAAGCTGATTCAGCACTTTCAGAATTTCTTCAAGAAATAAAAAATTCTCCAGTAAGATTCATGCTAGCATGTAAATATTTTACTGTGCGTTTGGGTACATTGGAGGACTTGTTTATATCAATGGCTGAATATCACACACGTTTCACTTTTCAGCTATGTTTTGCAACCATAATATGTTGTGTGGGTTTGGGTACATTGGAGGATTGACTTGTTTATGTCAATGGCTGAATATCACACACATTTCATTTTTCAGCTATAATTTGCAACCATAATACGATGTGTAAAATTTTCTTTAGTTGCAAATACTTGTGGTTGTGGAGTATGTTTTTCTCTGGGAAAAATTTCTGCTGGCATTATCAATCATTCTTGAAAATTTCATAATGGACACGACCCTTTTTTTGAACTAGCAGATTTTACTGTTCATTTTAATATCTCACCCAATCAGTGGTTCTCTTGAAGTCTGTAGATTATGGTCGCATGGCTGAAATACTGGTACAGAGGGCAGCTTCAGTGGATGAATTTACTAGGTTGACGGCTATTACTTGGGTAAGGACATTTAAGGGCATGATTGCCAAGTACAAATATTTGTCCAATTTCTGAGCGGTTTTTTGGGGTGCTATATGTAATAAAATTTTCAAATTTGTTTGTATAAAGTTTAATTACTATTTTGTCTGCAGATCAATGAGTTTGTGAAACTTGGCGGTGATCAACTTTTCCCTTATTATGCTGATATTCTTGGAGCCATTCTACCTTGCATATCAGACAAGGAAGAGAAAATAAGAGTCGTATGTTTTGATTTTTCAATAATTTCAATTCTTCCTTCGATGACTAATCCGATTTCTTCCTCAACTGTTTATCATTTTCACATCTATAATATGTTAAACTTAGTTACTTTTTAGAGCTCCTTCCCCCAGCTTTGTTTACCTTCTCTTCCTTTAATAAGCAATATTTTTTCCCCTTCATTGATTGCAGTCTTCCTTTACTGCTGTCTCTTGTTTGGTTCTTGTCTTCACTTTTCCATCAACTATCAGGTTGCTCGTGAAACGAATGAAGAACTTCATGGAATTGAGGCTGATCCAGCTGAAGGATTTGATGTAGGAGCAATCCTCTCAGTAGCAAGGAGGTATTTCTCTCTTATCCTAGAAAAAGCTAGGTTTAATGGTTGATTTCAGTTTAAGTTTGATTGATGATTAATTGTGTTTCACAGAAGGTAATGGTGGAACTCGGCTGATATAGTTTTCCATTTCATTTAAAGTCCTATGTTTTGCAATTGAATTCTTGAATACTGGAAAATTATGAGCTCTCTCTTCTGCAACAGGCATCTATCTAGTGAATGGGAGGCAACACGAATTGAAGCATTGAACTGGATATCTACCCTTTTAAATAGACATCGATTGGAGGTAAAGAAGATGTATCCAAGTTTTTGCTTTTTTGACTTGTTTATATGGTACATATGTAGGACATTTTGTTTTGGAAAGTGACAGCAAATGGCTTGATATTTAACTTATAGACCAATGTGTAGTATCGTTTCTGTTGCACTATGAAGTCTTGGTAAGTGTATTGGTAGGTATGCTTGTTATTAGCATAAAGAATTTCTGGTTGAAAAGGCCTAGTATGAAATGTAGCCTTGCAAGGAACAGGAGACTTAAAATTGTTTCAGTACTATTATTAAATGCCTGAACAAACTTAAAGATGACTTTTAAGCTGTATGTGTTTTTGCACTATATAGCTCTTTTACAAGCAATCATTCGTGATATGGCCTTGGCTTCTTCAGATTGTACTTTATTCACAAATTTAGAAAGAATTTTAAGGCACCTAATTACTAATTTTGAATTCAATACAAATTTATGATACTTATTATATTTTCAGTCTTCGAACAGTGTCACAATGCTAGTTAACCAAAGGTATGGTGCAAGTTGGCTGTGTTGCAAAGCACCTTCCCAATCCTCGCAGTATCCCATATGTAGTGCGTCCCATAGTTTTCTAAAATTTAATGGTTGTGCAGTGCCATGGGTTTCTCTGTACTTGACAACTCCTGATTTGTTTTAAAAGCGAGACTAAATTAGGTTTTCTGGTGGAAGGAAATTAACATTTTAGCTTGTGAAAGAGATAGTCATGTGACACTACTGGGTAGTGGAGGGATCAATTCATGCTTGAGTTAGAATGATAGAAATGCTAACTGGCTATCTTATACTTCAAGTGCTCAATCTGTTACTATACCCCATTTTGATGGTTCCTTTCATCAATATCCTCCAAGATTGATGCACAAGGATGTAGAGCTTTGTGCTGAACTGGAATGCTCTGCATATAAATCTTGAGGAAGTTGTTCGTCTCGTATTTTGTCAATAAAATGTAATTGTGGTTGTCTGGGATTGTCTAGGCTGGCAGTTGATTGCTTTTTCACAGACTTGTAGAGTTCATTTTTATATGTAAAAGTATCAGTAGCTCAATAGTTGTGTGCCAGAAGTCACATGGAATGATACTATAGCATTCAAATAAGTAGTGAAGATTAATCTAAATTTTACACAGTTTTGAGAAATGTTTGATGGGACTTTGCTAGGCAAAATATATCTCGAGACTTGAGCCTTAGTAAATCAATAAAAAATAAAAAA